AAAAAAATTATTTTTAAGTAAAACATTTTTAAAATAATGTGAATTATAATATATGGATAAATTTACAAAGTTTCAAGTACACAGTATTACTGAGGCCAAAATAGCACCCACGATCACAACAACTTACTATGTGTCAGGAACTATTCTAAGCACTTTCTACACCATATCTCATTTAATCCTCACAACAATTCTATGAGGTGGGTACTATTATTATCCCCAATTGCAGATTAGAAAACAGAGGCATGAAAAGTTAAGCAATTTCCCCAAGGTCACAAAGCTAGTGAATGGTAAGATTTAAACAAAGGTGGTCTGAAGTCAATAAGAAAAAGAACTAGAAAAAAAAATAGGTGTTTTTTTTTTTAGTTTATTGAGTTTATTTACCTCAATTGAATTTATGCTCAATATTCAAGTCTTTGAAATCAGGAAGTCCTCTTAACATTACTATTGAAATGGTAACCAAAAACATCAAGTAAGATCCACATCAAAGAGGGTGCCTTACACCACTAGTGTGTGGTGTCTGCATCAGTAAGGACTTTAGAAGATTTTATAGCATGCGTCTTTTGTGTAAAATCTGATATAGGGAGAGAAAGCTGACTGACTGACTTGTAATCAAACTTCAGTAAATGTATTTGAAATGTGTGTGGGGGGGGGGCGGTAATACTGTTTTCTACTAGACAGCACAGAAATCCTCCCATAATTTACGTGTCATTTAATTAATTTCTAACACAAGCTTCAAATTGTAAGAACTGTATACTAAAGCAAAAGAATTATGTGTGTGTCTCAACTCCATTGTTATAAGTAGAATCAAAATATCAAGTTGCTTTGAAATTATAACTGCTTCATTGTCTTGGGATACGAACAGTTCTAGTCAATTCTTTAGAGCATCAAATCAAGGAATATTTGAAGTAAATGAAACCTATCCAGTACAAATCAAGTAAAGGAAATGTCACATAAATACTCAAAAATGGCATAAAATATTTTTTAATGGTAAGGATACATATAAAAAGAATTGACAAAATTGTGACAGGTCATTTCATTTTAAATAAATGATGGTTATCTACACTTGCTGTGCCATTGACAAAATCAGTAAAATACATCTAGAAGAAGGAATGTCAAGACAATGCTTTTATTCTCCTTTTAATATATGCCTCAGTTTGTATAGAGAAGTATGACTATACCTGGTAACCATGAAATGAAACTGTTATAAATATTATAAATAAACAATAGGATCATTTTTTTAAGTCTATTCAAAATTAGTCCTCCTCCTTTGTAGACTGAAAAGACAATAACAGAACTATAAGAGAATGACTAAATAGTCAAGAGATTTATTATGGGGATAAAACAACCTTTACTTTATAAGTTAGCATGACAATATTTTTTAATTCAAATGATGAAGCTTATCAAGTTAAATTATGTTCCTTTAATTTTAAATAGTTCCTTCAAAAATTATTTGGCAATAGTATAATCCAAAGTGTGAATAACACATAGAGTAAAAATGGTAATAAGCTGTCTCAATTGCCATAAACAAAATCTTCACCAAAGGAGAAATATGCACCTTAAAGAGCATTATAACCTGGAGTGTGTGTGTGTGTGTGTGTGTGTGTGTGTGTGTTTCAACTACACGGTACCTCAGATAACCTCCTCAGGGTGATGAACATAGGGATTTTAATTCTTTGTGTCCAATATCACATTCAATTCGCCAAACAAAGTACATCTTATTGCTAAACTCCAGCCATACAAAACAAAGATAAATAGAAAAAATATTTTGCTTTAAAACATTTTAATATTGATAGTTACATTTTAGTAACAAAAATATTTTTAAATATATACTTATAACTATAAGTTATAACTGTACAATATAAAATAATATGAATATAGTTAATATATTAATATGAATATATTAATATATATTACTGTATAACATAAAATATGAATATATTTAATAATTGAGATATTTCATATTCATCTCAACAGTATTTAAAATACTGAAAAACTGGAAATAAATGAAATACTTAACAATAAGAGGATAGTCAATTGTGGTGCAACAATAAAATGAAACATTATGCAATCATTAAAATATGTACGAAGAGTGTTTCATAGCATGGAAAAATCCATGTTATAACATCAGTGGGTAAAAAGTAGGAATCAACAAGTATATATAATATCCTCCCAAATATGTCTTTAAAATATATATATAGGAAAAAGACTAGAAATTAATATACCAAACATTAATAATGTTACCCTTGGGAGGTAGAACTATAAATAAGTTTTCCATAATTTAAAAAACTTTTACAACCTTTACAATTGTCTATGGGGAACTTTAAAAATGTTATTCCACTATGTGTCAAGTGAACAATTACAGAGTTTCCACATGTTTTGTGTCAGAAGCCACCCTTTTAAGAAGTAATTTCTCACACAATTTGAAATATTAACATACAAGAGTGTTTCTTGGTTTATATAATTTAGCTGCTCACATAAAAGTACATATTTTAATAAAATATTTTTAAATCACTAATTACTAGAAAATTACATTTCATGTCAATTATAGTGTAAATTACTATAATAAAGATATAGCCTATGTATACTATGATATATAGCCAACCGCAATCACAACAAAATTTCAAATATCTATTTTTTGTATATTTGAAGTGGAGTCTATGACCATGTGCCAGAAAGCACATATTCACTCAGCAGCATCCATAAATTGTAAGAGAGGACTATTCAAGTAAAGACCTAACACACATTTAATCCTTAACTTTCTCTGAATCAAAAGTGCTTTAAAATTTTCCAAGATTAGGTTTTTAGGCAATGTGACTAAAAGTTCAATTAAAACCTTAAATAAACTTGAAGTGCTGTTGTGAAAAAGAACAGCGTTATCCACTGTCTTACCGAAGACAGCTCATCACATCCCAGTAACGTGTAGTAATCTTCTGTCTCTTCTGATCTGTAATTCAGTATTGCGTCCATTTAGGTCACTAAATCAGCTCTTCTTCCCCCCCGAAACAAAAGGCACAATGAGCTGTAAGTTAACAGAAAAAGCTTTTATAATTCTGGTTTACAGCAGCACATTCCAAACAGCACTAACTAGACTTAAGGCTGGCCACAGTCAATACACAGATGTCATCCTAGACTTTTGTAAACTCTACCTTTCATTGGCTGTTTACAGAAGAGAAAAAAATAGACCACACACCTAACTGTTGCAGTGCTGCCTGGGATTTGTAGTTTATGTAAGCAATGCAGATGATCCATTGGTCTTACAGGTAAGCAAAGACCATTTTTACATACTCCGCAAATTAATCGTCTCTCCATCTCCTATATACTTTTATCTTTTTCCTTCTTTTTAAGCGATAGAAGAAAATTTGAAGCAATAATGTTAAAATCTTAGGATTTGTTAGATATGAGTAGTGGGCGCTTTTCTGAGTGTCTAGAATGTTTCAGAATTGTTTAAATAGCTTAGTAGAAGGAGTGCACATATTCATTGTAGCCTGCAAAATTGGGGTCATCTAAATTGAGTCCAACTGGTTAATTCTAAATATGAATATTTTTCACTGTAAAAAAAATGATGTAGAAACATATTTTTCTAATGAAATATGGAAGATTTATTAAAGTAAGAGTCTGCAGGAAACTAACGCAAACTACTGCAAAAAA